CCCAAAGCCCATCCACCCTCAGGGGAGGGATGACACAGGCATGTGTGGCAAAGGCAGGGACGCTGGGAGCCGTAGTGGGGCAGCCCACCCACAGGCCGAGGTGAGACAGGACGGGAGGACCTGGAGGGTTGTATGTTATCTAGCACTCATCTATGGAATAAAGTACATTATTTCATTTTTATCTTTTAAAGGTTTTTACTCCAAGGACAATAAATGTAAAATAATGAATTCTAAAGGATTTAAGAATTAACTAAAGAACAAAGTCCTCCCACTCTAGCAGGTGGTGGCCCATTTCCCGCCCTCCCCCTCTGTGTGTGCCTGTGCTTTTGCGGGAATCGGGCAGGGAGGATTCTGGGGCATGTGCTCTTCCAGAACCCGGTTTCCCCTGGCGGACACTGCTCAGTCCATCCTCTTCCTCTTTTGCATTTCCTGGGGCCCCGAATCACAGTTTCCGAAGAGCCCCTACTGTGCATGTTGCATCCATTTCCTATTTATCCCCCTCATCACTGTGCTGAAGGGAACGTCCGCGTCCATACATCTTTGTTTATAACAGATTCCTGGAAGTGGAGAGTCTCGGTCGAATGCAAACATGATTTTAACGTTGGTTACAGTTTCCAACGTCTGAGATCTCCTTGACCACTCTGAGCCTTGTTTGGGAAAGCAGGGGTCCACACTCTGGGGCTGAGACCCCTGGGAGGGCGGCAGAGGCGGGGCTGTGGGGGGGGGGGGGGCGTGAGCGTATGAGACAAGGTTTGTGCTGGACACACAGGGCACAGTCCCCAGAGGCTGAGGTTAGGCCGGGAGCAAAGATGGTCGCCCCCTACGTCCCCAGCTTCCAGAGCTCCAGCTCCGACCAGTGACCCTGCTGGGCCTGGGGAGGACTGTGGGTGTTGAGCTGCAGTGCGGCAGAGCCGGAAGCCCCTCCCCCTGCCCCCAGGAGCTGTTCAAGAAAGCGATGCCCTCCCTACCACTGCCTGGGCTCCATCTGGTCCCAGAGGGACAAGAAGGGCAGGGAGCACCTGGCTTTCACCGTTGTGCCACTGTCACTCAGTTCAACAGTGTGACCAACTGCGTCATCACCACCCGCCTCGGGGACCGGAGCGTGACGGCCCGCGCCAGGGCCAGGGCGGTGGAGCAGTCGATCCGGGGGTGGCCGAGGGATGCTGTGAGAGGGGCGGGGAAGTCCCTCTCCAGTTTTGGAAACTTCTTGTTCTTGGAGAATTGGGTCTCTGGCTTGCCAGCTGCTCCCTCTGGCTGGGATTTAGCTTCCTCCAGGCTGTTGGGTGGGTGGGAGGGGACGGGTCCTTCCTTCCCCAAACCAGCTCAGCCTGTGCCTGCAAAACCACGCCCCATTGCTCCTTCTGTCTGCACTGTGCTTCAAGGGGAGGGCACCCCACCTGCCCAGGGACAGGGTGCTGCCGGGAATGCTCTTGGCTAAGGGGCCAAAGGGGCTGCCCAGAGGGGCAGGTCTGGGCTTCCCCACTCTGCCAAGAGGACAGGTGGTGCTAACCACAGAGAATCCTGTAGGATTGTTGCCTTACACTGGAGAGTAGCCCAAGTTAGCAATAACTTGCTAGCGTGTGAGAAATCTCAGAGGACTAATGAATTCATGGCGGGTCCTTCCTGACCCCACCTCAGAGGTCTCCCTGTCAAAGGGGGCAAAGTGTCGCTCCCCGGCGACCCCCGGCAGCCCCTACCCCGTGTCAGAGGTGGGACCCAGGAGACCCCTCCTGAGAGAGCGAAGGCAGGGTTCCCTACGCTGTAGGAAACGTGAAGCTTTAGCAGGGCCTCAGACCCAGCCTGAGTGGCAGGGGCTCCAGGGGGGCTGCGGCAGGGAGAGCAGCTCAGCCAAGGCTCCCCAGAAAGCGGGAGGCCCTTCTGCAGGGACGCTCGTGGGGTCACGGCAGTAACTACGGGAGACGTTATCAAGTGCCTCTGTGCCTGGCCCTCTTCTAAGCGCTTCGAAGAAGCTGACTCGTGCTGTCCCGCCGGCCACTGGTCCCGGCCGTACGCGCGGGCGGGAAGGCGGGACTTCCTGACAGCTGGGAGGGGCTGGCTCGGGAAGGGCCCGTGGACGCGATAGGTGAGCCCAGGAGGCCCGGCCGGGGAGCTCGGCCGAGGTACGGAGGCGCCACATGCTCGGTGCAGCCTGGAGGGTCCGCTAGAGGGCGCTGCGGCTGCGGCGAACTCGGGGAGGGCGCGGGTTGGGCCTCGCGGGCCGCCGTCCGCGCTATAAAAGGCGCGGCGCGCAGTCGCGCGGCCTTTCCGGGCTACGGGGATGGTGGGGTGCGGGCTCGGGTCCCCGCCCGACCCGGCGCCCGCCGCCGGCCGAACCCCGACCCCCGCGTCTCCATCGTGGGTCGCGATGGTCGAATGTGCGCCCGGGTCCGCGGGATAGGCGGGCGCAGAGGTTCCTTGTGTCGGCGGGGTGGGTGCGGCGAGGTTCCGGCGCCTCCGCGTAGCATCGTGGGGCCGGGGCTGGGGGCGCCGCGGATTGCTATGCTTTCCGCACCTTCCCGGCTCTGAAGCCTCGAGAACACGGCTATAGGCAGCAGTAGTTTAATGGGTGAGTCGGGACATTTCATTCGGAAATTGCCCCCTCCCGCCTTCAGCGCCACTGCTTTCCCTGCTTGCGACCTTGAGGGAGTCACGTTATACCCCTGGCCATCTGTTGTTTTGTCTTTAAAGGACTGGTTGTCACTGCTTACTGAGCTCTAAGTGAGGCGATTTCCGAACTATAGTGCGTGTGTGCAGTGCAGTGGGTGTGAATGCGGTGGCCTCCTTGTGGAAGGGGTGGCTGCATTCATAGCCTGGTCCCTTGATCACCTGCGGTCTGCGCTGCTGTATTGTAACCTGCAGTTTCCACACCCCCCCAAATTAAACAGGGAGTAAAACACGGAGGGTACCTGGGTTTGGTGTGTAGACACGTGTAGGCCCTGGAGATCAAATGCAGCAAAATAAAGCCTGGGTGAAGGGCCTTTCTGTGGGCTTGTAAGGTTGTTATAAAGCGTGGGTTTCTTTTTTCTCTAGGGAGTTTGCCTGCTGGGAACTAGGGGCCTGCTGGGGTCTCAGGTGAGTTGACACGTGTGCTGGGACAGGTTTGCGCTGAAGAATAATTTTTGTGCTAGTTGAATGCCTTTTTTGTTACATTCTAAGCACGGGGCCAGGGCATCCATGTGGTCAGGGAATAAAAACTTGAGTTATTTAATCTTCTGTAGGCACTGCCCCTAGAGGCGTTGCAGGTGTGGTTGCTGTGCCACATCTGTGTCATTAGGTGGCGGAGAGAAGAGAGGCCTGACTGTGCCCAGCGTCCTGGCCCGTGGACGTCTGGATGATTGATAGTCTGACACTTGACTGTGCTGACTGGGGGTGTGTCTACTGGCAGCCTGACACCTGTTGTGTAAAAGCACTCTTAATTCCCTCCTAGTTCTTGGCCGGCCCTGGAACACGAGGTTGCCAGGTGTGTGACGGCAGCAGGTAGGAGTGACCCGCTGGTGCAGTGATGAGCAGGAAAGGTGAGTGGGTTTCGGTAAGACTGACTTGCTGAAGATCTGTCACATTGGATTAAAAAAGGGTGGCACTAAAATTTTCCTTTCTAGCGTGAGCTCAATAATAACCACCTAACGATCTGAAATAATTAGACTATATTAGGTGGATCCATGGGTAGTTACTCTCTCTTAAAAGAAATTTTATGATGGGTTGTGCAGCCAGAAACTCTAGAAATAAAGTTGCCAGGTTTAAACGTTACGGAGACAATTCCGAAGGCCGGCTGTGCTACCTTACGTGAGGCTTTTCTGAATTCTAGAGGAATGTTTCCTGTGTTGCTTTGTATAGTGTACTTTGATCCGTTGATCTATCTAGGACCTCACTAGTAGCTCCCTGGGAGAGGGTGCAGAGATTTCTGAGGAGGGTCCTCCTGGCTGCACTACGGTCCCCTGGGTTCATCAAACACCAGCCTATTGCCAGGTGCCAGCACAGGCAGCCCTTTTCAATTTTTGCCTCGGGCTGCCCGTTGCGGGTCTGAAAGGTGACGGTGGAAAGGTGAAGGGTTCATGTGTCAGTAGCAGCCTTCAGTACTACTTTTTTATATATAAATTTGTTTATTTATTTTTGGCTGCGTTGGGTCTTCGTCCCTGCACATGGGCTTTCTTTAGGTGCGGCGAGCGGGGGCTCCTCTTCACTGGAGCCACGGGCTCTAGGCGCTCGGGCTTCAATAGTTGTGGCGCAGGCTCAGTAGTTGTGGCTCACGGGCTCAGTTGTTCCGCAGCATGTGGGATCTTCCCGGACCAGGCCTCGAACCCGTGTCCCCTGCATCGGCAGGCGGGTTCTTAACCACTGCACCACCAGGGAAGCCCAGCCTCCACTAGTTTTAAATACTGGCAACAGTAATAATGGCAGCCAGCTTTTCCTGCGCTCTGATTCTGGGCCGACCACTTGTTGTTCAGCACAGGAAGGACAGCGGCTGTTGGCCTGTGAACCTAGGCAAGAATGACCAGCCGACACGGTCCAGACCGAGGTGAGAGGCGGTGCTTTTCTGAGCTCCTCCTGGAGGCCTGCTGGGCGGGCGGGACACTGCCCTGCAGATGCCGGACTTGCCGGCACCACGGGTGCGGCAGCCCTGCTGCACCTGTGACGTTGGGGCGGAGAGGAAGCGGCTATTTCTACGCTCAGTGCCCAGAACAGTGGGCGCTAAGAATGGTTTGTAGCCGGACACCACCAGAAGCTGCAGGAGGGAGCACCTTGTTTCCACGCGCGCTTGCGGTGGGAGCTGTGCGCAGGCCCTTGAAGACTGATGTTCTTTTTCTTTATAAGTTTTGAGAATTAAATGAGATATGTGTACAGGCATATGGCAAGCTTTGGGCACAATGGGATTGACCAGGAGAGAGTCTCCTTACTGGAAATGAATGTTCTGTTGGTCTGCCTGGCGAGGAGTTTTTAGGAATCCCTGGGCAAGTTTGACCTGCATCCCTGGCTGAGGGCTGCTGAGCTGGTATCAAGGTCCTGTGGGGCTTCCAGGCCATGTTCAGAGTAGGACCCTAGGTGGGGATGAGGGGGGCCCAGAGCCACTGGTCCACGAGCGCTCGTACTCTGAGGACCTTGAGACGAGTCACTCTGGAAGGAAGGCCGGAGGTTCGCTCCTGGCTTTTGTCCTGTTGGTGAGGCAGAAGTCGGGCCCCTTCGTGGAGCCCCTCGACGGGCCGACCGTAACCCTATAAAATGATCCTCCAGACCAGGGGTGTCGTGGTCTCCCTGCAGATGGAGAATGCAGTTTGCTGTTTCCCGAAATGTTTAAGTTGGAGGGTTGGACAAAAGCTGTAGGTTAGTGGCTCTTCGCCTAGGGGCAGTTTGTCCCCCTCCCAGGGCACGTGGCAACTCGCAGGGCAGGAAAGGGATGGGGTGCTGCTGGCATCTAGTTGGTGGGGCCCAGGGCTGTGGCTGCATGTCCTGTGGTGCCCAGGATGGCCCCACAGTAAAGCTACAGGGTCCCAAATGCTGATGGGGCCAAGGCTATAGAAGATAATTTGGGAGGGATTCACGGATTGGATTCCGTTTCTCAGGTCCGTGGGCCCAGCTTGGTCCTCTGCGGCTGGTCAGTGGAACAGACCTGCAGGTGTGGCTCCTGTCACTCTAGGACTGGCTTCAGGACAGGTAAGTTGGGAGCGGGGTGCCTGGCTGGGGGTTTGACAGAACTTTTGGACCCTTTAATACAAGCACATGGTATCAATTGTGGGTGTGCTTTGAGGAGAGGTGAGAATGTCCAAGTAGCTGACAGTGAAGGCCTCGGTGGGCAGAACTGGTGGTGAGGCAGGACAGTGGCCTGACCTCAGCCACCTCCCCCGTTAGACAGCGTGTTGGCAGCAAATGGCCAGGCCTGTGGCTCAGGGCGGCCTGGCTGGGTGGCTCTGGCTGCAGCATCTGAAGGCTTGATCGGGCCAGAAAGAAGCACTTCCAAGACGGCATGCCCGAGGCTCCTCACGACGGGACAGCTGGCTTCCACCAGAGCTGGTGTGACCCAGCCTCAGAGCCAGCCCCGGTGCCCTTGGGAGGGACCGTAGGGTGGGCGGGAGCGGCCTGCACAGCATGTGTCTGGTTGGTTCTTAATCCAGGTTTTGGAAGTGTGCTCTTTATTTTGTTGTGTTTTGTGTTTTTGAGAATCTTGAACTTTTGGCTGCTACTAACCAGCTACCAGAGTTTTTGCCCACTTCCTCGTGTCGTGCGCTGTGTGGCTTGTCAACTGGAGTGGGGTTGGGGTGACAGTGTAATTGCCGGAAGCAAGCCGACTTGAGCAGAGAGGGTGGCGGGTGGCGGTACATCCGGTAGGTCCACCTTTGAGCCCGGCAGCAGCTGGGTTTCCTGTCCCATCCTACTTGGTAGAACCTCCCTGGCTGAATTCCCCTAGAAACTGGGTGGAATGGTCAGAAGGAGAGGGGAGCAGGGCTTGGCGTGTCTGGCAGGAGAGGCTGAAGAGGCTTGAGCAGCTGTGTCCTTGCGTTCCAGAAGCCAGGTGCTCTGCTAAGGCGGCTCGACTGGGGTCCAGCCCACCCAGCGCTGGGAGGCGTGGCGAGTGGGTCATCTCTGTTTTCTGTCTGCAGATCCGGGCCGGAAGAGCCCAGGGCACCGCCCTCAGTTCTCCAGGAGAGTGCGCCAGAGTGGAGCCAGGAGGGGTGTGCGCGACTCAGCACGGGGGCCATGCACGTCCAGTCTGCTGGCATGGGCAGTGGGGAGCCGGGGGAAGTCATGGCCTTGCGAATGTCCTCTGATGAAAAGGAACCTGCGGGCTTAATAAAATAACTTGCGTGGAACGTCGGTGTGCTGAAAAGCAGTTGTGTGTGCTTTTCCCCCTTGGTGTGGATCAGTGGTGCTGAGGCAGCAGGCGCGATACAGAACTGTGAGCAGAGACCTTCTGGAATCCCCAGACTCCAGGGAAACTGAAGGTGACGGCCAGCCTAGTGAAGAGGACAGGGGGCGGGGGCGGCAGCCCAGCAGGCGCCCCTCGTCTTAGGGCCCTAATCCTGGCTCCAGCCCGCTGGTCAGGGGAGCTGCACGGTCCCTTGGGTGAGCAGAGCCCCCAGTCCTGAGCCGTTCTTCGCTGTGTTGGGTCATCTCCCGCCATCCAAGGGGGGAATCTAGATGAGGGTTAAGAAGTAGTGCTTTAAGAATGTGGATCTCATAGTTGGAGCACGTGTCTTCAGCACAAAGTGTTAAAGTGAACGGAAGGATTCAACCCCTTTTCGAGGAGGGCATCTCCATGTGGGCAGAACTAGAGAATAAATGGGTCTTGAATACACTGTCTGGACTTGCGTTTCTGTCTTATCAGCTGAGGGTGCAGCAGGAGTTGAGGGTGTGAGAGGGTCAGGCTCCTGGGCTCACAGCTTCCTGTTTGCGCGGGGGAGGAGGGAACAGGGGACCCTTGGCTTTTTCCCGGACAGTGGATGTACACCTAGTGGCTCATTGGCATCAGTGGAGACGCCTTCGTAGGCTGGGCCACACGGCTCTGCGGCACAGGGAGAAGTTAGTGTAGAAGCTCCTTACGAGAGAAAAACTTCCGTCAGCCCACCCTCCCATCCCCATCGGAACCACACCGGATCCGGGCTGGGGGCTCAGCTTGCAGCGCCCTTGCCCTTGGCTCCAGTCATAACCCCAGCCAACCAACAGCCAGGATGTGGCTGCCCTCCAGCAGACCGTCCAGGCTGGGGTCTGGAGTGGGCTGAGGGGACTCGGGTGCTCACGGAAAATCTATTTATTTACACGCATGTTCTCCAAAGTAACAAAACCTTGGTCTAGGCAGGTCCCTTGGCCAGCCCTTGGTGCTCGGGCTCTAGGTCCTTCCCTCTCCTCCCAGCCTCTCCCATTCCAGCTGCACAGTCGCGTCTGGGAGCCTAGAAAACCCTGGGGGTGGTGGGGGTAGGGGCAGGAGCCCCACGGCTGCCTGAGCTCTGGAGACCCACAGGGTCGACACTGGAGCAGCCCCGTCCTTTGGTGGGGGAAGGGGGGAGAGGGCCAAGGGCAGGCGTGGTTCTTGGGGCAGGGCGGGAGCGCCCGCCAGCCGTCAGGTGTACTTGGTGTTGGAGATCTCCTTCCAGAGCAGGGTCTTGAGGTGGCTGAGCACCAGCGAATGGTGTGCCTCCACCTGGCTGGCCAGCCCGCTCAGCGTGGTGCACGTGCGCAGCTGCTTGCCCAGCGCGGCGCGCAGGCCGGCGGGGGCGCCGGGCAGCAGGTAGTCCTGCAGCAGCTCGCACACCTTGGCCAGGTTGGGCTGCACCAGGTCGCCCTTGCACTGCCGCAGGAGCGTGTCGCAGGGCGCCCTGCAGTCGCGCCCGTAGGTGCAGTCCGAGCTGTGCTCGCAGTGGCGGCCCCGCAGGAAGCGGCGCACGGCGGCCTCGGGCGCCACCTGCTGCAGGTCAGCCATCCTGAAGTCGTACTTGGCTGTGTAGCCCACGTTGGCTAGCGTGGTCTCGCACATGTAGAAGGTCCCATAGGCGCCGTGGAACAGCTCCTCCACGAACTCCAGCAGGCCGATGGCAATCTTGGCGCGCCAGGGCCACGCGGGCCCCAGCCACTGCTGCAGGGCCCCGTGCAGGGCGGGTGGCAGCAGCGGGCGCAGCAGGGGCGGGAGCACGGCCCCGGGCCAGGAGCTGTGCGGGACCCCCTCGGTGAGGTACAGGTCCCCGCAGTAGCCCAGCAGCCGGGAGGCGTGCTCCTTCTCCTGCAGGGACAGCAGCAGCAAGAACTCGTTCCGCTGCAGCAGGGCCCACACTGACTTGGCCTCGGCCAGGGACACCCTGTGGTCCTTGTTGAAGTCGGCCATGAGCAGGACCTGTCCGGCCAGCGTGGGCAGGGAGGGCAGGTCTCCCAGGTTTGCCTGCGGTTTGGGGGCAGGAGAGAGGAGGCCAGGGCGTCGGCCAGCCGGCCAGCAGTCTGCGCTCCGGACCCCGCACGTCCGCCAGGCAGGGGGAGCCCCGCCTCCAGCTGACAGGATGGAGGGGACAGCCAGGGACCTGCAAGGCCCCCTCGCCACTCCTGGAAGCCCAGCTGCGGAGCCTGGGGCCCCCTTACTGCTCATCTGCCCCTCCCGCTCTCCCCGAAGATGCCCCTGGGGTGGGGCCTCAAGCCTCTGGCTCCTCCCTGAGGGAGGGTCTGCTTGGAGCTGGGGGGCTAGCCAGGCACCTGGCTGGCCCGTGTGGCCTCCACCCAGCCTGCCTCCTGCCCTGTCACACGTCCCTGGGCATGAACTTGACTGGCCCCCAGGAGGGCCAACTGACCTTGAGAAAGCTGAGGGTCATCTCCTGGAACTCCTTAATCGAGGTGCCACGGGTGGGCTTGTCAAAGAGGACCAGCTCCCGCCGGGGGGCCGCATCTGCCCCCGCCTTCAAGTCCAGGCTCTCCTCAATGCCACACTTGATGGTCACCTCCTTGCCCTGCCAGAGCCCGCTGTACACCTGCACAGGACCACAGGGACCCTCCGTGCAGATGTCCTCCTCTGGCTGCACTGAGGGCGTCTGAGCCCTGGGGCTGACCCTGGCCCGACCCTGCTGGGCTTACCTGCTGGCCCGGGACAGAGGAGAGGCAGGTCCTCCACTCCACCTGGTGCAGGTGGCACAGGTCCTGGCAGATGGAGCCTGAGATGATGCCCTTGCGGTACTGGTCACACTGCGGAGAGGAAGATGCAGGAAGTGGCCTGGGGAGGCAGGGGCTTGTCCTGCCCGCCCACCGGCCCCTTCTTTAGCCAGATGCACAGGGAGAAGCTTTCTGCAGTAATTAGGTCAGGCTCTGGAGTAGCTGCCGCCCCCACTGGCCCCTTCTCGGCTCTAGACGAGGCCTTGCAGCCCCCTGAGTCCTGGGGGTCTGGGCTGACCTGAGCAGGTGAGGCCGGAGGGGATGGAGTCAGGCCCGTCCCTGCGGGGGGTGGGGGGGGAGTCGTGGCGTCTGGAGCGAGTAGGGGGGTGAATTCCTGGATGCACATCACCGTAGCCATGGTGCCCAGGCCCTTGGTGGAGAGGGCCTTGAGGAAGGAGAGGGAAGGGAGGTGCAGAGAGAGTGCTGAGGGGCGGGAGGCGCCAGAGGCCCTGGACTCACCTATGGGGACCAGGGAGGCCACGACAGCCATTCATCCAGAGGAAAACGAAGAGACCACACACTGTCATTCTGCCACCTTGGAGGGAGGCCCTCCACCACGGGGGTCTGTTCTGACCCGCGAAAAGCCCCAGGGCCACAGGGCCCTTGTGGGGGGGTCTGCCAGGGAGGCTGGGCGGCAGGGCTGGGCCAGGGCGGGGGAAGGGACCTGTCAGCCACACCGCCCACCAGTGTGGGGAGGGGCTTCCACGGAAGCTGAGGTGGGCAGTGTGTCCATCAGACCCAGCGCTCCTGCGACCCATGAGACACCTCCCCTCCCAGCCTGTTTACTGTGCGCAGACTGGGCGGTGGTGGGGACCCGGCCGAGCACCCAGAGGCCCATGGGCACCAGGTCCGTGGCCCCTGGTCCTGCCTTCCCCACACACACACACACACTGGGTGGCCTTGGACAAGCTGTGGAATATCTTGGAGACGGCTGATACCCCCATGAGGCGGGCAGGTCTCCCCTGGAAAGGAGAGGGTGTCCCCATGGCCCCAGGGACAGGCCTCAGGAGAGCTGGGCCCAGCAGCCAGGGCACTCTGGGAAAACGGAAGCTGCAGTTCCTCTGGCTGGGAGGGGCGGGCTCCTCCTCTGCTCCCCCAGGGCCCCTCAGTCCTCTGCGTGTTGGGGCGCTGCTGGGGGCACACAGGAGGTCCTCAGAAAACACCCGCCAGCCCTGAGCAGTCTGCTCCCTGCATGCCACTGGCCAGACCCCATCGCATGCCACCTTCCAGGTCTTGCTGCCCGCAAAGGCCCCTCCACCCACTGCCAGCACCAGGCGGCCCGGGCTCATCCCAGGCCTCCCGCCCTGCTCCCTGGCCCGAGGGGTCCCCAGAGCAGGGCCTTTTCCCGCCCGCACCCAGAGGCCGGGCTCCATCCCCCCACACGCCTGCCCCTGGGTCTCCCCAGCTCCCCCCCGACCCCAACTGTGAAGGCAGAGCCATATGTCCAGCACCCAGCTCGGGCCAGGCCCCTGGAGGCCCCCAGTGAGCCTTTCTGGAATAAATGAGCTTGCCTGAGAATGGCCGGGAGGCCCGAGGCCTTCTCCTCTGAGCTGGGACTGCGCCCTCGGTGCCTGGTGGCAGCCCTGCCCCCAGGAGGCCTGAGCCAACCATCAATGGGCCCCGTACAAGTCCCTACGCACAGGCTTTCCCGCTCTGGAGCCCCGTGCCGCTCCCACCGCCACCTCTGGGCTTTCCCAAGTGTGGCCCCCCTGGGACCTTGCCCAGAACAGGCCTGCTGAGCCCTTCCGGGGCGCCACACAGCTCCCCAGGAGGAGTGCTCTCAACCTGCAGAGGAGGAGAAACTCCAGGCCCCTGGCTGGTGCGAGGCAAGGCTCCCCCTTCGAGACCCCAGGAGCTCTGCTGGGGCAGGGCAGGTCTGTCCCCAAGTGGCATGGAGGCCTCAGAACCCTGGTCGGCTCACCAAGGGCTCCAACCTGCCCGGGGAGGCCAGGCAGGGCGGCCGGGGGTGGGGGAGGATCAGAGTCTGAGGTTTGCCAGGGCCCCTTCGGCCGGCCTCACCCCGCCCTCCAGCCAGTCACTCCATCAGCAGGAGCAGTGAGCCACCCTGTGTGCACGCTCGTGGGTGCACAAGCGCTGGTGTGGACAAGCACACGCAGGCTCACGCGCCCTCACACGCACGTGCACGGCCTTGCTGTAGACGCCACGGTGGCGACTTAGCGCTGTCTCCCGTCTGAGGCCCCGAAGACCATGCCCCGCAGCCTCCTTTGCTGGACTCCTGGCTCCAGGAGGGGCCCTCAAGGCCACCAGCGCCTGCCTGTCCCCGTCTGGGCTAAAATGTCTCCCTCATGGACACCTCTACATCTGGCTCTGTCCATCTGCCCGTCCCCAGCCGCCCGCATCTGCGCAGCCTGCCCTTGGCCTCCGCATTCCTCTCTGGCCTCCCCCGTGGCCCGCCAGGGGCAGCTCTGCAGTCGGCACGGTCAGATGTGTCTTAAAACCCGCTGAGCCGGCGCCTCTGAGCCACGTCTCTAAGCTGCCACGGCAGGAGCGCTGGCCCAGGAGCCCACAGGCCTGGCCCGAGGTGACACTTACGATGACCACCTGGCAGATATGCCCGCGGCAGAGCTCAGCGTAGGACGAGTAGTGAACGTAGGCCAGCCAGCTGCCCGCGAAGATGCCCAGCCAGACCAGGAAGACGTACTTGACCCT